CTGCTCTGTTTGGCCCGTTGCAAAAGAATTCCAGTGTGGGTGTGCTGGAGAGCGCTTTGCCCCTAGGTAACAACATAACCACGCACATTTTCTGATGCCTCCTACACACCATGTGCACTTTTTCGTGTGTGATTCCAGCAAACAGGAACCGGCTATGACGACAGGAAGAGGCTTTTTTTTATGACTCAAATCCCAGCACAGGAATGGGCTCATTTAGTGATTAAGAGGAGCCACAGGAAGGCCCGGTGCCCTTGTGGTGTTAGTGCTGCTTTCTCCTCTACTTCTCTGTTTCTTCGCGTGTACTTGTGGGGAAAGCACTACCGTAACTGACAGGGCTGGTCAGGGCTTCAGCAGCGTGGAGAGTGCTGTAGGTCTGTCCTGATGAGTGAGGCCTTTAGCGGGCTGTCAAAGAACCGCCTGGACCGCAGTATAGACCAGGGCCTCTCAAAACCTGTCAACATGCCTCCATCAGAGACCCCAGAACTGCCGCCTTCTCCTCTCCACACACAGCTGAAAGGAGATGGATTACAACCACTCTGGAGCACTGGATACACCTTTTTTCAGCTTTTAACAGAGCTGCACCGAGCGTACGTCTGCATCTGCTGGATGTTTGTACAGATGGGTCTGAAACCTCGAGGAGTTCTTATTTTTCATAAAGAAAAGCTGTTGGAGTGGAAGTCTGAGCTGTTGGGGTTATCAAACACCATTCATCTTCATGGCAAGCCCTGGCACTGACTCATTTTGTCATGCAAAAAAGCCAAGTTCACAAATATGCAGACAGGTGGCTGAACAATATATGGACTGACGACTTAAATCAGTCCAGCGTTTTAGCTTATGGATTTGCAGTCTTTGAAATTGTATCTCCTCGCTATTTGAAGGAGATATGTTGGTTGATGTGTTGTGTAACGTGTGCGTGAGTATGAGTATATCTGTCCTCTGTCCCGGGATGCCAAGAGGGAGGATCAATATGAGTTCCCCGTCAAAGGCGTGTTGTTCTTGCTCCGATCTTGAGGCAAACGGCCGTGCTTCTTGCTGCGTTGCGTCTTAGGGACCTCCTTGGCCACCGACTGGTTGTGATGCGGCCTGAAACGCTTGCACTTGCAGGAGGTGACCACGCGGATTTTGTACGTCCGAGTGTTGCCGTTGGGACACTGCAGCTGGACCCTGCGTGTCCGGGAGTGCGCCGGGATGCAGCGGTAGTCTGAGGCGCTGCTTCTCCACCACTTGCCACGGAGGATGGAGTTCGGCATGAGGTGCGCCGGCAGGCACTGACCCGAGCACACCAGCTCTCGGACAGGTTTGGCACTGCGGCAAGAGCCGTCGGTGATGTAACGGGTCGAACGCAGCTCCCTGCAGCTCACCTCCGAGGCACCTGGGTTGGAGAGAGGAGATAACAGTTAACACTCGTGGATCGAGTCCAGAACAAACACGCAGAGCGCTGCGGACTTTCCGCAGGGCGACTGCAGCTGTGTCTTATTTCAGTGTGCGATCGTTTGCCTCGGTCTGTTTCTGACTTCACGTGTGGCGTTATTTATGTGAAAAACAAACAACGTAAGGCCAATAAAGTCTGAACGGGAGGCGGCGTTACATTTCAGCTCCGACACGTTACGAGACACAAAAGAGCTGCTGAAAAATCCACTTTTCTAAATTCAGCCTAATACAGTAATTTTTTTACTTTTAAGTGGAGGCTTAAGCCAATGAGATCAGAGTTTCTGAATTTGATTTATGGTCTGATCATTAGCTGACAACTGGGCCTGACGAAGAAATCCAGCTGGCAGCAATCAGCTGATAGCAAATCCAGACCAGAGGGCCATTAAAAAGCTCAATCAAACCGAACGGAGGTTTGGTCTGGAAGGAAAAAGCTGGCATTCACCGTTGGCCCTCAGGAAATGTATGTGGTGATGGAAGAGTAAATAGCTGTCTGGTTATTTTAAGGCAGCGCTACAACTGTACACTTCTGAATAAACTGGACATCTGCCAGGCTGATTCGAGACAGCACACTCAGGCTGTAATCCTATATTTCAGCTGCAGCTTTTTAACAGCCGTACGCATGAGTTATTGTCCTGTGTTTCTTTTTCTTTTTTCTTACAAGCTGC